CTTCATATCTATCTAGGGATTTTCGCGGCATGTGGATGTCAGCGGTTGAATTTATCGATGCAGAGACGGCTCTTGGAGCTGAAGCTGCTCACAATCTCTTCACATGTGAAATTGATAGGGGAGCAGACAATGCGGATGAGAAACGAAGATTAGCTGTAAGTTTTTCCCCAAAATTCCGCAAGTGCTCTCGCATGGTAAAGATCCTCTAGGAAGCTGGGATGTTCTATTTGGGTGAAATGGTAAACGTTTTTCGAAGAGGATCGCTTGTCTCCAGCCATGTGGACAACCCTCTGCCGATCACAAAGCCCATACTTTTTGGTACCATTGATGGTACGATTGGCCTAATTGTACAGCTACCGGAGAAATATTTCAAGTATGACGACTTGACATGTGAATCTCGCCCAACAACTGGTCTTTAGATTCTTTTCGGAGGTAGAAAAAGGCGTGGCTAGAGAGACTGATAACTGTATGAGGATTGATCATGCTGTTTACCGACAGTTTACGAGCGAAAAAATCGTTGATAAGGTGATCGTGGTGTGATACTCGCTGACTCTAAGTCGAGATTTCTTGTTCCAGGCTGTGGGATTCATAGATGGAGACTTAGTTGAGTCTTTGCTTGATATGCCTCATGAAACCGCCGCTGCAGCATTGGCCGGCATTCAGCGACCGGGTAGGTTCACTTTCCCCACTACCACCGAATTCTAACTCTAATCTTCCATGGTAGGTAAAAGGACTTTGTAGTACTGGTCAGGTCAGACAAACGTTAAAAGCTAGTCCAAGACGAACGCGGTCGCCCACATGCGCGAGCGTGCGCGGGCGTAAGGTCCCGGACACACCTCACGTGGTCTCAGCTGCGACGCAATTTTTCAACTTTCCAACTTTTTATAGCTCACCCTAAGCGCATCCTGAATAAAAAGAAGATGGAACAATTTTATCGGTCTGCGAAAGTTGTGCAAAATGTGAAATTTTATGTTGGATTTGAAGAAATCTGGCAGACTGCCAAATCGTGTGGCGACTGAAATCGTGAAATATGCTCGGGGCTCAAAAGCTCCAGTTAAAGATGCGCGTTTACGCTGATCGCAGCTGCTTCGCACGCCAGACTTGCTCATGGAGGAAGTTTTATATTGTTGCAAAATCAGTACGAAAAGTCACTTCGTAGCCATAAGTTTGTCAAAAATTCTGCACTTTTGGACACAGGAAGAAACAGTAGAAGCAGGGAACCTTTCTTGATTTTTTGCACACTGATATTAACTTGTTCAGAAAGCACTTTCCTGTTCGATTTGACATAATTTGGGAAAAGGAGTTTGTCCGTCTGAAAATGCTGAATGATGGTCATCATAATATTGAGCCGATTTATGTCGATAAAAACATGAATACTGCAAATTCTGAGGTTGCAAGAAATTTGCTATAAGATTGCAGTTCATCATAATCAATGGCATAGTTTCATAAGTTTAGTCGAAATAAATAGGCAAGCCAACTTTCCTCATAGCTTTGAAATCATAAGTGTTTTAAAGACGATCAATGAGTACAAACTTCTCAACTGAAGAATATACATTATCTGCGGCATTTCCGCATTTTTTGGAGCCCAAGCTAAGTCAGTGAAAGTTGGGCTTCTTGAGTATCACGTCATTTCTAATATTACACATTGAAGGCAGTGGCTCGGGAAAATCGCGACTGCGGCTTGCCACACTTACATGGCTTTCTGGACCAGCTGAATCCGATGC